CCCGGACCGAGCCAGAGAAGTATTAGCACCCAACCCCGTGTAACATAGGCTTAGCTAAGAAAGAGTATATTATAGGTGAAGGAAGTAAAGAGAAGATAGTACTTTACGTAACTAGTAGTAGTTCTTGTAAGTCGCAGGCCTAAGTAGGATATTGCTAGTGGAGTGTCGCTGCTTTGGTTGATTAGGGCGCTAGTTGGTTAACAAGGTCGTTGATTATGCTCTAGATAGCTCTGATTGGTGAACCTAGTAGTACATAGACGCCTCTCTTGCTCAGCTTAAAGCAACGCTGACTAAATCACCTGTATGATGCTTTTAAGTTGGCAGCACTGTGATATTACTCTAGAGATGAAAGTATTTATAGTATAGAGAAAAGTGAAGGACGTATTTATTTATGAAGCCCGTAGCTATTGAAAACGCTACAGTTTACTTCTTCAGCCCTGTTTGCAGACAAGGCTTACGCTATTTTAGTTCAGCCCTAGTAAGGGATCTCTTAGACTCATTCTCGTTCATAACTGTCGTCACCGTACGGCTCAAACTCGCGCAATGCAACAAAATGACCGACCACTATTCTCCGTAATATACCAAAGTAGTAGGGGCTGGCACGTTAAGAGCTATGACCTGCACAGTGAGGAATAGGCCGTACGCGACTACCGTGGTGGCGTGGCCGTTAAATCGTCGCTTCCCCGAGCAGCGCCGCTATTGAGTGGCACCGCCAGCCAATACCGCAGTCTAATCTCTCGCCTGATCTCTGTTTTTGCGTGCGGCAGGAACGTGTCAGTCCGTTATGAGGCCACCTTAGGCCTTGTATCCTCGCCCGTCTTCTCTCCCCTCTCTTCTCTCCCCCCTCTTCTCTCACCCTAGCCAGAACCTCGCCACAATGACGCGAGGCATTCACGCTCCGCCCCAGCAAGATGCGGGGGGGAGGGGGCATCTGCAAGTCCGAAGTCACGGCTTAGAATTGCTGGGAAAATATTATACTTTCTTTAGGTACGTCAGTCAACGCTCGCAGCTACCTGCCTGGTTAGCAGTTAGTGCTACCTGTGGTTAGACTGCAATCCCTTTAGTTGCCGATGCGCTAAGCTTTACTTTATGCTAAAGTATTTGCGTAGGTGGTAGAGGCATACGCGGCTATTCGAGCCTCCTCATCTTAGAGTAATTAATGTCTAAGATTGCTAAATGCGAGAACTGAATGAAAGATGAATAGGGAACCGTGCCTAGCAGCCAACGCTATGCGTTTAATAAGGATGAGCTACTTCCTTATTACTATCTTGACAATATGTATGGTATAAGCACTGGGGGCTTAATATCCATTCTACTAGCACGGCTGCGCATAACAGTCCCACAATGCCTGGAAATTTACCGCGATATTAGCTAAGAACTATTTGGGCAGAAGCGCAATATCCTACCAGCTAGTACTAAGTTCTACTACAAACCCTTAGAGAAGCTGTACTAAAGATCGTAATGCAGTACTTCAAGAAGCACAACTAATGTTAAGGTAAGGACTAGCACCCTTGGCACCTAGACGATAAGGATCGACAGCCGCCGGCTAGTATAGAAGATGAGAGTTAACAACTACTGCCTATAGAAGACTTAGGCGGTGCACCATCCACCAATCCCCAGCACATATGCCACTCGTGAGACTTCTTTTACCTATACCTTAATATATTCATTCTTATACTAACACCTAATAGTATCTGTCTGACGGCTATCGACAGTGTATGCGATGATCCATTTCTCCTTCGCTCGTACCACTACGAACATAGCCTAGAGAACCTCAGTGCCGACAAAGAATAGGTTAAACCCTAAAACACCACCAGCACTCTTGCTTTCAGTCAGAAGCGGACTCAAAGCTTCAAGCAGAGACGGCTTTGCTAGAGAGCAGCAAAGGTTCTTAGGGTTAAAAATGGTCTTTCAAAAGCTGTGTGGCAAATAGGCCACTTTCCATCATATAGAGAGCAAGTACACGGACGGTGAAGACTAGCACAAGATCATAGATTCGATCGCTCGTGATGGATAGTACAAACGCCTGAATGTGGGCAAAGGCCTTGAAGGTGTGTCGCTCAACCATTAGGTAAAGAGTGAATAGACAAATCCGCAAACCCAGCAAACAAAAACGATTCCTAGAGGTAAATCTGTTACCGTAATCAAGAAAGCAACACGTACATATCTCGAGTAAAATACAGTTGCTAGTTCCGGAGGCCGGACCAAGCCTCGACTTCCTAAAGTAGTCATCGAACAAGTTACAGAGAGATTGGTGCGTCGCAGAAGATTAAGAGAGGCCGCTAACGTAGAATAGCATCCATGCAATCTTTTATATTCGCAACGCTAATAACATAATTCCCCCCTATTCTTATGTGAGTCTAGACCAGACCTGGGCGCGCGAGTCGTTTGCTGCTTACAACAACGTATTTGTTTTTGTAAGCATGCATCTAGATGAGGCACGTGGCTCAGCTAACTACCCAGTAACCGTGCCTACTCGATTATATAGTCCATCTTAGCTGAGCCCTTGTAAGCATATTTGGCGATATCTCAAATGAATGATTGCCTAATATCCTATTCAGAGCGGAGCGTAGCCTACACTCCATGATTTGTTTTACCAAAAATTTTCCCCCATACGCAACCATTACTTATAATGGGAGGTATGGTGGGGTTCGTGGCCTACCGCGCACAGATAGCGTCCAGCAGGCTGGAAAAACTAGCCAACAGGCGTGTAGTCATGTTAACTGCTAGGTTTGCCTTTACGCTAGCAGGCTTATTAGTTTGCAGGTTTAGTAATCGCGCTAAATAAAGAAGTGCTGTATAATAAGAGCGAAGGCTGTGTACATGTTCTTAATACCGAGGTCTGCTGCAACGTGCTTGTCAATAACCTCCTACCTCTCTTGCTTATCCTTTGTTTTTTGACCATTTTTGAATGCTTTGAGGAGCTCAGAGCTCTAGCGTCCAATCACGATAAATTTCCTCTTTACAAGACTTCTTTATATAGACTAGGTTCGTGTGGCAATTAGTTTTGAAAGGGGCAATAGTCGAAAAAAAATATGGGGTTAAGCCGACCAAGCCTACCATCTATGGCCCGCAATAACTACAAGAACGTTAAAGTAGGTGTTAAGACGAGACCTAGTCCGCGAGTCTGCAAGTCCGCAAGTCTGTAAGTCTATATACTAGCAAGCAAGTATTTATGTAAGCCTCTCTCGCGCTCAGAGACGTACGCACCAACTACGAGCGACTCTAAGATACTAATAGCGCTCTTATGCGCGGAGAGCAGTCATCGCAGCATCTTATCCAATACAACCTTCTAGACTTAAGTAGCGATCTCTTTTCTACACACATAACAATACCTCGACGCACTCTTCTGCAATACTATGTAAGTGATCGCCACAAGATTTCAATTAGGCATTTTCATGCTTCTATATAGAGGCCGCGCTTAACTATAGCGTCTAAAGACAATAAGACTAAGTATATATAAGGATTAGTAGTTATTTAACTTCTAGTCCGAATACTCTCAGCCCCGTCACGTCCACAGCCATTGTAGCCATGCTTCCTAAAACGAGCTCTAAGAAACACATATTCAGCTGCCCTATATTCGTTGCAGAAGTCCGGCGTGGTTTGCCGCGTACGTGCAACAATGTTCAATGCACAACCATGGCCAGCTTGCGACGCCATTTAAAAACCCGACCAGGACGTGGTTATAAGCGCCAATTACCATTTTTAGAACTCTATCGTACCTACAACGAAGATTTTATTCACAAAGATGTTTTTGAATCTCAACATAGCTACCGAGGGGAGCTCTGCAACAACTGCCAACCCCAGCGCAGAAATGCCAATACACAAGTGCAATAGAAACTGCTGCACCGCCAAGTAGAGGCAGAAATGTCTTCAAAACATGACCCTAAATATACGTCCTCTCTTCTACCTATAACCTACAGAGACGGTCATCAACACAACT